GGCGTGGCAGCCAGCACCCCCGACGCGCAGGCACAGAGCGCCATGCTGGACTGCGCCAGCGATGTCATGGATAAAGCCAACAACCTCATCGAGGAAGCGCGGAAAGCAGTGGCCAAGCCCGGTGACCCGGAGGGCGTGGCAGCCAGCACCCCCGACGCGCAGGCACAGAGCGCCATGCTGGACTGCGCCAGCGATGTCATGGATAAAGCCAACAACCTCATCGAGGAAGCGCGGAAAGCAGTGGCCAAGCCCGGTGACCCGGAGAGCCAGCAGCGCCTGGCCCAGGTACGTGGACCAGGGCCCCCGGTGTCCCCCACCCGGCCACGGAGAAAGGCAAGGGGCTGGCGGGGGGAGAGGCCAGCAAGAGGCTGCTTGCGGATTCGGTGAGCTGAGCAGGGGTGGGAGGGAAAGGGAGAAGCCTTGTAGGAATGCACGCCAGTCCCCCCACACTGGACTCCTCTGTACCATATACATAAGCATGTGCCAGACCTTCCTCCTCCATCTCCCTCCTCCTCTCCTCACCCCTCTTCCTGTCTCCAGTTCCCTCCCAGCACCAAGAGCTTCCAGGAGGCGCAGAGCCAGCTGAACCGGGCGGCTGCAGGGCTCAACCAGTCTGCCAACGAGCTGGTGCAGGCATCGCGTGGCACCCCGCAGGACCTCGCCAAGTCCTCCGGCAAATTTGGGCAAGACTTCAATGAGTTCCTTCAAGCAGGAGTGGAGATGGCCAGCCAGTCCCCGGTGAGAGCAAACACCCGTTGAGGGGTCCTGGGTACAGTGAGAGGTTTGAGGTGTTTGAGAAGGTGGCTGACTGCAGGCAGGGTGGCTGGGCAATGGTGGTTGGGGTGGCTGTGGCCAATGCAGCTGGTGAGATGGGGACTGAGGCTGTGCAAAACCACAGCAGCAGGCAGAAAGTGGCTTGAGTTTGTTCAGCAAGTGTTGCCGCTGTATCCTTGCTGTTGGCGGACGAGTTAGATGAAGGGAACCAGATCAGTTTGAAAACCACCAGAGAAGACCCAGGGTGGGTGTGGAGCTTGGAAACCTGCTGCACGTGACCCTTCTTGGCTCCTTGCAGAATAAGGAAGACCAGGCACAGGTGGTGTCAAACTTGAAGAGCATCTCCATGTCCTCCAGCAAGCTACTGCTGGCTGCAAAAGCACTCTCCGCTGACCCCACAGCTCCCAACCTCAAGAACCAGCTGGCGGCAGCAGCACGGTAGGAGGGACCTGTTCCTGTGAGCTGTAGCAGTGGAACTGAGTGGTAGAGCTGGCATTGATCCGTGCATCTTTCTCCCTTGTCCCCCGCAGGGCCGTGACCGACAGCATTAACCAGCTGATCACCATGTGCACCCAGCAGGCACCAGGCCAGAAGGAGTGCGACAACGCCCTGCGGGAGCTGGAGGTGAGAAGCCACATCTTTCCAAAGTGATGGAGAGGCTGGGTGCTGCGATGCAGGGGGGAGATGCACCCTGCTGTGAGGGGCAGGAGGGAGCAAAGAGGAGACAGGAGTGGAGGGCACAGGCTCTTCCTTTGGCTGTGACACCTGTGTCCCTGCAGACAGTGAAGGAGCTGTTGGAGAACCCCACTCAGACCGTCAATGACATGTCCTACTTCAACTGCCTTGACAGTGTCATGGAGAACTCCAAGGTGAGCCCTGAGTCAGGAGTGGAGGGTTGGGGAAAGATGTGGGGGCAAAGGGAAAGGTGGTTCGTCTCCCGTTGATGAAGCACAGTGAGCTCTGAGGCTGAGAGCAGTAGGTAGTCTCCATAACCGGTGCGTGGTATGTCCTGCAGGTGCTGGGCGAGTCCATGGCTGGCATCTCCCAGAATGCCAAGAACAGCAAACTGCCCGAATTTGGTGACTCCATCAGTGCCGCCTCCAAAGCTCTCTGTGGGTTGACAGAGGCAGCTGCCCAGGTGAGATGCACTTGGTCCCAGCCATGAGCATTGTCTCTGCCACATGCAACCCTCCTGTGGGACAGTGCTGCCAGTCTCCTCCTGAGCCCCTGCCTGCTCTGAGCCTCCTGGCTGCATATAAGCTGCCTCTCACCGCCTCTCTCCTGCTCCCAGGCTGCCTACCTCGTGGGAGTCTCGGACCCCAACAGTCAGGCTGGACAGCAGGGCTTGGTGGACCCCACTCAGTTTGCCAGAGCTAACCAAGCCATCCAGATGGCCTGCCAGAACCTGGTGGACCCTGCCTGCACCCAGTCCCAGGTGGGTATAAGCTGGGGCATTGTTAAGGGCATTTTCTTGCATGAAAGGGAGTGAGGGTGATGGGAAGAGCTGTGTTGCAAGACTTGGCCAAGGTTCTGGTTGGTATCTCATCATGTCCCGTCAGCTGTACTGGGAACCAGTTGGCAGCTTTATGCAGTTGTAGCAGTCCAGATGGGGGGGCTCTACTGGCATTCAGGACTTTGGCAATCCTTCTTGGGCCCCAAGAGGGACTCCTGTGGTCACTGGTGCCCCATGTGAGGCTGCTGGGAAGGGAGAAGTGCAGGAATGGGGAGACACAGTGGGTCCTTCCTCACCCTGCTCTTCCCGCAGGTGCTGTCAGCAGCCACCATCGTCGCGAAGCACACTTCAGCCCTGTGCAACACGTGCCGCCTGGCCTCCTCTCGCACTGCCAACCCTGTGGCCAAGCGCCAGTTCGTCCAGTCTGCCAAGGAGGTGGCCAACAGCACGGCCAACCTGGTGAAGACCATCAAGGTGTGATCTCCCTGCTGGGACACCATGATGGCAATGGGATTTGGGGCATGGTGGGGGCTGAATAACTGCCCTGGTCTCTCCACGCCAGGCCCTGGACGGCGAGTTCAACGAGGAGAACCGGGAGCGGTGCCGTGCTGCCACCGCACCTCTCATAGAGGCTGTGGATAACCTGACAGCCTTTGCCTCCAACCCAGAGTTTGCCACCGTTCCTGCCCAGATCAGCCCAGAGGTACGATGCTGCAGGGACAGGGAGGATGTGGCCTGGCTGTGCTGGGGGCTCTGAAAGCTGGGGAGGATCTGTGCCTCCTCCTGAGCTTGGAATGGAGTCCCAGTGTAGCACTGGTGCCTCTGGGGAGTGTGATGGGGAGGTGGCAGCAAGCCTTGGGTTTTTAGGGGCTGCTCTGGATGAAAGTGGCAGAAGAAGGACTAACTTTCCATGCACAGTCCCTTGCACAACTCACTGGCCCGTTGTCTCCCTGTACAGGGGCGCAGAGCCATGGAGCCCATCATCTCTTCAGCCAAGACCATGCTGGAGAGCTCTGCTGGCCTCATCCAAACCGCCCGCTCTCTGGCTGTCAACCCCAAGGACCCGCCACAGTGGTCGGTGCTGGCTGGCCACTCTCGCACTGTCTCGGACTCCATCAAGAAGCTGATCACCAACATGAGGTGAGGAGGGTCCTGCCCACTTGGCTATGGCCCTCTCCCTGCTCTGAGCGAGCATCTCTGGGGATGTTTTGGCTCCTTCACTGCTGCCTGCTGGAGGGGGCCAGGAATGGGGCAGAAGATGCTGTCTTACTTGTCCTGTACGGGAGCTGCCCCTCCAGCCCTGGCATGGGTTGATATGAACACATGCTGGGTTGCCCCAACCCTGGGAAAGGGTTTCTGCTCCTCACTGGCACCAGCTGAGGCTGGGGGCAAAGGGACGGCCTAGCACCTGCCAGCCCTGGGCTGATCCATCTGTGCTGCAGGGACAAAGCTCCAGGACAACGGGAGTGTGACGAAGCCATTGAGGTGCTGAACAGATGCATGCGGGAGGTGGACCAGGCCTCCCTTGCTGCCATCAGCCAGCAGCTGGCCCCCCGAGAAGGCATCTCCCAGGAGGTGGGTCAGGGACGCACTGCTTAATGGGGGCAGGTGTCCTCCCCTTCTGGCTCCCAGCAGCACGCGGTGACCCCAGCCCTGCTGCAGCCTCGCACGATGCCCTCTCTTTGCAACAGGCTTTGCACAACCAGATGATCACAGCTGTCCAGGAGATCAGCAACCTGATCGAGCCCGTGGCCAGCGCAGCACGGGCTGAGGCCTCACAGCTGGGGCACAAGGTAACAGGGTTGGGGATGATGGGAATGAGAATGGGGATGGGGATGGGGAGCTGCTGCTGAGGTGCTTGGTGTGTGTGGAAGAGCTCATGATGAGAGGAGAGGTAGGAGGCAGCCAGGGCTGGAAGCTGCTGGTGCTGACGCTGCTGTTCCCTAGGTGTCCCAGATGGCTCAGTACTTTGAGCCGCTGATTATGGCGGCTATCGGCGCTGCCTCCAAAACACCCAACCACCAGCAGCAGATGAACCTTCTGGACCAGACCAAAACGCTGGCTGAGTCAGCTCTGCAGATGCTGTACACAGCCAAGGAGGCTGGTGGGAACCCCAAGGTGAGCAGGAGGAGCATGTGTTGGTGGCGTGCACCCCTTCACGTGGCGGGTGCTGTGTGGTGCATGCACATGTGCCAGACACAGAAACCCAGGGTAAGTGTCCACCATCCCTTCTGGGAGGAGAGCTGCTGCCCACCTTCCCTCACTCTGGTTTGTCCTTGCAGCAAGCTGCCCACACCCAGGAGGCTCTCGAGGAGGCTGTGCAGATGATGAAGGAAGCAGTAGAGGACCTGACCACCACCCTGAACGAAGCAGCCAGCGCTGCCGGTGTTGTTGGGGGCATGGTGGACTCCATCACCCAAGCCATCAACCAGGTGAGTGGAGTGTGGAGTGGACCTGGCCAGGGATGGGGGAAAGCAAAACGAGACAAACCCTGCAGGGTCTTTGGGCTGCGACTGGAGCCAGACTCTCCTGATGGTCTCTTACAGCTGGATGAGGGGCCGATGGGTGAGCCTGAGGGCACCTTTGTGGACTACCAGACCACGATGGTGAAGACAGCCAAAGCCATCGCTGTGACTGTGCAGGAGATGGTGGGTGCAAGCAAGCCTGTCACTGCAGAAAGTGCTGCCTACCACCCAGGCAGGGTGACTGCCCTTCCTGTGTGCCCATCCCAGTGAAGGGCTCCTCCAACTCCTGCTCTCCTTCCTTTGGCAGGTCACCAAATCCACCACCAACCCAGACGAGCTGGGCACACTGGCCAACCAGCTCACAAACGAGTATGGGCAGCTGGCACAAGAGGCCAAGCCGGCTGCGCTCACTGCTGAGAACGAGGAGGTACGAGCGTGAGGGGAAGTGCTGGGGCACACTGTGGGGCAGAGCAGGGTCGGATGGGGCAGAGACCAGAGGACAGGGACACTCGAACCTCCTGTCAGAGCTGGGGGCAAGCACCGTTCAAATCTCCCCTGCAACACAGTGTGGAAATGTGGCGTAAAGCCGTGTTTCCTTTTCCTCCCTCCTGAGTGGGAGGATTGGGTGTTTCCCTGAGGGTATCACGCATGCTGGGCTTCATTCCCTGCTTTTTCTCTCATGGGTGCATTCCTCTCTAGATCGGCTCCCACATCAAGCGCCGGGTGCAGGAGCTGGGTCATGGCTGCGCCGCCCTGGTCACCAAAGCTGGAGCCCTGCAGTGCAGCCCTAGCGATGCCTACACCAAGAAGGAGCTGATAGAGAGCGCACGCAAGGTTTCTGAGAAGGTGAGTGGTCCAGGGAAAGGGGTGATGGCGTGGCGAGGTGGGAGAGATGCTGGATTGAGCTGTGTGCCCTTGGAGATGCTACACTGGTGTCGTGGTTTAAGGCCGGGCCGGCCACTAAATCCTGGACAGAC